ATGGGATTAACCCCTGCAGGAAATTAAAGTTGTAGAGAAGGCTCTTCACTCCACAGCTGAGAGAGAGATAAAAACTGGGATCTGGATTAGAATTGGCAGGGCTGGTGACAAGCCACCACCCACAGCCAACTGTTCCCGGCTGGATCAGAAAATGTTATCTCAGTCTTCATGTAGAACCCCCCTCCACATCTCACTCGGTTACCAATTTTTGCCAACAGTGTGAGAAGAACAAAAACATCACTCCATGGCAAGAAAACGAGGAGGAAACTGGGTAGCCAGCTCACGTGTCCCTCCTCCGAGCCCCTCTCCCCCTCCCTCACCCGCTTCCCTTCTCAGCTGCCTCCGTTTCGCATGGAGGAAACCTGCACGTGGTCTGTCGCGTTCAATAATACTCGGAGAAGATGCTGGCACACACATGGCTGGATTTCTTCCTGTCAACTGCCCCCTCAGCTCTCCTCCTGCTGCTGCTCTGGGCCTCCTCCATATGCCGCACTCTCGCTGTGCTGGGACTTTCCTGTCACTCCGGTGTTGGATATCCCGGTCTCCCCACCTGCTTCCACAGCCTCCCAAGGAATCCCAGTTCTCCACAGCAATCTGGGTCTTTCCCATCAGTGCTACCCGCCCTGGCTCCCCTTCGGATGCTCTGTGCTTTCTCTGAGGGTTCAAGGAGGCCTGATGCCCTTGGTATTTCCAGCCCCTCCAACATCTCCTGGTCTCGTTATTGTGCATTGGTCAGGGAGGCTCGGGGTGCAAATAATGTGTTCTGGTTAAGGTACAGGATGAGGAACCAAGGAAACTAGCTTCTCTCCTGATTTTGCCCCCGGCCCATCAGGATACCTTGGGAAAGCCTGCCCAAAACTCCTTTATTCTGTGTAACTGATAAGCCCTACAAATCATCTCTGCAGGACAGGAGAGCATTTACAAGCCCAAGTGATCCAGTACAAGCGCTGCACTTGGCAGCTTTGAATATCTTGAATGGGGAGCTGATGTGGGCTCATGATGAGATAGCAAGAGCTGGGCAGCTGAAATTTCAGCCAGCCAAACTCAGCAGCCATTTTTACCTCTCTCATAGTTTACCTCTCCATAAAATGGGGATAAAGTTGATCTTTCTCGGAGGGACTTGGGGAGGAAACATTTTTCAACACCAACCACATTTGCATTTCAGAGGTGCCTACGCATTGTCCTTTCAAAGATCAGAAGCTTTTTGACCTCTTCACATCCCAAAGAACAGGGTGAGGTTTTTTTTCACACCAAGTCAGGAATGTGGCAGAATTCTTTACAATACTGAGTGGGTTTTGCACGCTTTCTACTTACTTTACTGCTTTCTGTGTGAGGTGTTTTGCTTAGCTGTGATCGATCACTGCAAGTCAGATGGCACCATTTCTTCTGCAGCTGGGTTTCTAGTGTGAATTTAAAATGTGCTTTCCATTGATTGTGACAGCATAACACTAATGAATCCTGAACACATGTGTTAATAAATCAGCAAGTGCTGGCAATGAAGCCCCCAGCTATTTAGCTTAGAAGCTCACTGGGGCAGCGACACACGCCGTATGTTTCTACAGCGCTGCTGAGCTTGGCTGCCACCTCTGGGTGCTTTTGCAGTCCAAATAGAAAACAAATGAAGAGCTGCCGCTGAGACAAGGTGACCTCTTGTCGTCAATAATTTGCTCGACTGACCTAGGTCTGTTGGGAGACCAAGAATGGGCATCATCTCCATGCCATCTAAACCCACTTGTGGTACTGTCAGGAGCAGGATTCCCCACTAGGACTCATCAGCCCGGTTACTTCATGAACTTCCAGGTGCTGTAATCGGCCCCCATGGCTGTCGTGTCTCCCTGCCCTCTGTGTACCAGCTCTCCTCCCCCAAGGGCTGATGAAGGAACAAACACAGAACAACGTGCTTTAATCACGGGACTCTGAGGCACTACTGTCCCCCTACATTATGGGTGACAGTAACAAACAGGAATCCGAAAAGCAACAAGGAAAGGGGAGGGAAAAAAGATAATCTCCTTAAAGTGTCCTCCATGCCCTCCCTCACCCTGCTGCTTTTCTGATAAAGGCTAAAGCAATTCAGCATTGGAAAGGGGAAAGGGACTTTGCCATCACTTGTCAAGGAGATTGTGGGGGAGGGATGGACGTCTACGTGTACTTCCTGAGAATTTATCGCTGGCATCTGTTGCAGCCTCTGCTACCCACCCTTTTGTAATATAGGTCACCCACATGCCCTGCCAATGGTCGTAAGCCAGGCTGTTAACGGAGTCTGATCCCTGAGCCATGATCCAAGGGTTAGCGCAAAGGACTAGGAGAGAGAATCAGAGACAGAGGCCGCTGGGCTCTGTTTCTGACTGCAACTCATCCTAGTGACACAGTCACCTGTCTCTCTAGCCTCAGTGTCCCCATCTGGAAAATGGGATACCTTTATCCACCTAGCTAGAGCAGAGGCACTACTGGCTACAACCTCAGCCTTACTTCTGGGGGTCATTAAATACAAAATAACGACAACAACACCTACAACCATGGTAAAAGCCATTCCTAGAGCAGATGGAAAGCTTTGGATAGAAGGTGTCACAGAATTGGGAAGTGTTACTAAAACAGTATGTGGATGCAGTAAACTGAAACCCTCCTCACCCTCACAGTATGCTCTTTGGGACCCAACTTACGAAAGCTAAGGCTTTAGAGTGATACTGCAAACATTACTGGTGTCTGGGCAGGGAGAAAGGAAGCACAAGACAGTGATAGTGCCTGCTGTAACTTTTATGTCCTGGCAAATGCTGCAGAGTCATTACAGTCTCCTCAGCATCCCCCCCAGCAGTAAAGTTCCCTGTTCTAGCTAATTAGGGGAATCCTCATTAGAGAGTCCTCTAGAGTCTGACAGGAGGCCAAATGTCCAAGTGGCACTTCAACTCAGTGTATTTTTGGCCACTGGAGCCCATGGGCCAGAAATGGATGATTTCATTCTGTTGCTTTGAGCTGAAACTAAAAAAGTTGTCTTACTGTCCTATATCAAACGGCAAGAAGAAAAGGCCATCACCAGCCCCACAGGCTACTTTGTTCATTTCTCCAATATTTGGAAAAGAAATTCAACTCCAAGCATGTGGAAGAAAGCTTTGGACACCGTGTCCCATGGATCACAGGGCATTCGGCTGACGTGTTTCTGCAGGGAGAAGGAACCATCTAGTAAGCCTGGAAGGAAGACTAACGCCTGGATTGTGGAGCCCTTGGGTGACTTCAGAGCATTCAGAGCTCCAGCAATGCTGATCAGCCTTGAGCCCCCAAACCCAGGCAATGCCATGCTATTTCAGAACAGATGGCGCAGTGCCTCTCCTCTTAGGCTGAGGGTGTATGGGGGGCACTCCTAGGTCTGGCAGAGTCCTCACTGCTGGAAAAGTCCCTGGCTGTCAGGCTGAAAGCAGCCAGACAGATGTGGTGGTGCTCTGGAGAGCCCTGAGGTGTGGGCAGGTGCCGGTTGCTCCAGGCCTACGGGGTTCCCAGTGCTGCGTTGGCAGGAGCGCAGCTGGCCTGGTGCTCTGCAGAGCAGAAGGCATCTCTTGGGCCACAGTGAAACAGCTAATTAAGTCAGAATTCAAGACAAATCAGAGAAAACCTTTATAAAAGAGACTCTCAAAAATCCTCTCTGCCTACTTGCTCTCTCCTGGATGCAAAATATTAATCACTAAGGGTCTAATGTGCTATGGGCAATAGATGCGTGGGAGAAACTGGGTTTTTCTGGATCCTTGGAATTAAGATTTCTCCATAAACATACTACTTCAAGGTATAAATGCAGAAGCTCATTGGCCCTTTCACTTCAGCAGTCAGCAACCTCTACCTATTCCACATCTACAGCTCTGCCACCTGAGCATATGTTATGCTTGGAGAAGCAGGCAGTTTTGTGCAAGGCATGGATAAATACGGGTCACAGAAGAGTCCCTGGTACATGTGCAAGCCCAACTCTGTGGACACATTTGTAAATGTATGCCAGATTGGCGACTATATCTGCATACATACATGAAGATAGCTGCTTTTAAGTCTTCGAAACGTGTATGAGTGCACAAAGGGTGGCTGCTATCTATGGGGCGGGGAGTGCTGTGTTTATGTGACATGCTTTTAATAATCTTGGGTTCATCAAGGCACCTCCATCTTTGCGTGTGTTGCAGCGCAGGAGACAGCATTAAAGCCTGAACAGGTGTTAATCACTATGCACTGTAATAAATTCTAAACATAGGGAAAGGGCTTATTTATACACGGCTGCTCCTCCCACCCTGCACTCTGTGCTTGAGCCTTGGTGCTGCCTGAGAGGAAGAGGCACCCGTGAGGTACCAGAAACCAGTGCAAGAGCTGGACTTGCCCCGCCAGAACAGAAGGAGCTAGGGGTAGAAACCCCGACCCTGTCATCGTCCTTGCGCCCAGGTGCGCCGGTCCTGCTCCGGCCCCTCACTGACCTGGGGATATGCTGTGGCGAAACCGCACAGAGCAGCAGGTGTGGTGGGGAGTACACCAGCCCATGGCCTGAGCAGGGGCCTGGGCTGAGGGGAGACCGCAGAGGGAAGCCGTGTCACGAAGCACCCCAGGAAGCTGTTTTTCTTTTTTTTTTTTTTTTAAAGCTTAGCCCCCCTGGTTGGAGCCGAGCCAGCTGATACAGATGGGGTGTTACAAAACAGAGCCAAAAGGCAAAAGCGCAAGGAACAGAGCTATCTATAACCCTGACAAAGTTAGATGGAATGAAGGTGGGGAAGAGGGGAAGACAGAGCGTGGCAGGCAGTCCCTGATGCTGAGAGCAAGGACGCGATCGTTCGGCAACGGGATTTGGAGCTGATTGACTCCCGCTATCCAGCAAGCAGATAAGGCTCTGTGGCTGTCAGCTTAACTCTGCCGTTTATTCCTGTGCTGTAGGGAGTTAAATAGAGCACACGGAAAGCCTGCTGCTGGGGAGTGAAAATCAAGGAGGGAGAGGGAAGGAAGAGACTGTAATTGGGCAGTGCCTGGGGAATCGGGTGGAAGTAGCTGTGGGCAGAGCCCCTCCAGGTAAGTGCTTGCTGCTTTTCATCCTCCTTGTCGATGCCGACAGCCGGGGACAGGAGACTTCAGGGGTGACATTTAGGATGGAGACACTGATATGGGGGAGGCTGAAAGTCTCCTTCTCAGCCAGGGCGAGAGCAAGCACCGAATGGGGACAGCTATTTGTTGCAGCTTCTCCTTCAGCGGGGACGGCAGGGAAGGGGCTCCAGCTCGGTTTGGGGAGTGGGGGGGCTGCAGCGGGTGAAGGTTGGATTGGTTTTGGTTCCGTGAGAGTTATTCATCTATTTGGTGCATTAGCATTTGGGTAAATGATCTAAACAGCCTTGCAAAGTGTACTAGTCTAGGCACTGAACCTGCTCGTCTTTCTCACCGAGATGCTAATTTAAATATTTCCTGGTGGTTTACACTCCTGTATAAAATCAGTCAGTCATGGGAGCCTGGGGGAGGGGGAGCAGCTGGCACGTGTGTGGGGAGAGTGTCCCGGTGGGAGTGCAGCACCCAGATAAAATAAGGGCTGTGGATGTTGTCAGAACCCCTCAGAGAGGAGGGAGGATGGTTTATTTTTGTACCCTGGTTGAAATGTGTCCATCTAACTGCTGCTGTGACTGTGGGCGGCACGTCAGAGAGCAAGCAGGGGGACAGGAGGGTCCGTGGTGTTTCCTCTTTTCCTGCTTGCCTGTATCCAAAAGGGAAGCGGGAAGGAAGGAGAAACCTGTTGTCAGTCACTTATTGTCAGGGGAGAGTTTATGGTCTTTGGGTTTCTAATTAGACTGAGCATTTTTCCTTCTTCTAATTAAGATGTAATTCCTCTCTTTTCAACACTCCCACTCAGTCTCCCCCGCCCCAGGTCCTCCCTTCTCCTCCGAGGCTTGCTTGCTCTTCAGCTCCTGCAGTTGCTGCAGTGTGAAATCCCCAAGCTGAAGCTGTGCTCTGCTCAGCCCCGCTCTAGGCACCACATCCATTTTACCTTAAAACAGAAAGGAAGCACTGGTGGGGAATATGGGGAGGGGGGGAGAAGCGGCTTGCCAGCCACTGGTACCCAGACCTCAGTGAGCCTGAGCCGTGCGTCAGGGAAAGGATGCACAGGTGGTACCAGCCTGTGCAGCGGCGAGAGAGGATGAACTGGAGTCTGCTGCCCTGGCAGGGTCACCTCGGCAATTCATTAGGTTAACCCTGAGCATGAAGCTAATGTAACTACCGCAGCGGGCTATTCAAGCACAGGCTTGTCTCTTTGGCACTTAGGTGAATCAGCCCTTATTTCTGCACTGCGAGGTTCAAAGTGAATTAATGTTGCACCTTCGTCATGCTGCACCTTCTGAAACATCCTCCATCTCTCCTCAAAAACAGAGCTGGTGCCTCAAAGGCAAAACTCTAGTTGGGGAGGGGAAAGGACAACACTGAGCCCAGCCCCGTGTCCTGCGCCCAGGGAACCGAATCCCACCCACTCTGCTCTGCTCTCCCCCTCCAGGACCTGGCAGGCAGGCTACAAGGTCATTCCTCCTCCTTCTGGGGCCGTGTGCCAGGCTGGCTGGTGGATGTGAAGACACGCTGGAGAAGACAACAATGCTGCCTACAACTGCTGGCCACCGGTGGAGGAGCAGGTTCCTCATGAGGTGGCAAGAGGCTTGTCGTAAGTAATGCCTACTCAGGTACTAAGTACGATGATCCTGTTTGTCAAGGGAGTGGAAAGAAAATAGGTCACATCAGGGTTAAGAATAGGGGAGAGGGACAGCTAAGAATGGAGATGTTTGAACTAATTCCCGATTCCTTTAGAGGCCAGGCTAGTTGGGAGGGAGAGCGAGACTCTAAAGCTGAAGATGGGCTTAAAGTGGGACAGCAAGTGATGATTGCTTCTGAATTCCAGTGGGCCTGGCAGGTGAGAAACAGCGAGACAGATACCACCACACAAAGATCCACTCTGAACATTTCTCAGATCGGCATCCTGTAAGATGCAGACTCCTCTCTGTGGTAAGGGTTTATACATAGGCTGCTGAGCTCCCAGCTTTCCATGGCAGATGAAGTCATAACAGATTTTAGAAGGGAATGCAGGATGCTAATGCAGAATTCTCCTACTGGGCACTGCCACATGTAGTGAAAATCAAGGAGTAAATAAAGAAGATCGCTTTTAAATTAAATCGTGAAAGTTCAGCCTGTGCATCTTCCCAGTGGACCGAGGCATCTGCTACAGATCCCTGAGTGCGGAGCAGAGACTGCTAGGGCAATGTGGGGCTTCAGGGAATGTACCCGCACTTCAGAGAAGCATCTGGGGACCGCAGCAGAGGAAAGGGAACACTTGGAGAGTGTCCATCACTACGGCATGCCCAGGCAGCATGTGGGTCTGTGGTTTCCCTTGCTCCTGTCCTCCTGGCCAAATGTGGGGCTACCACTGTAAGAAGCTGAGGGAATTATGTCCTTCTCCAGAAAACAGGCATCTTTGTAATCCATCCTTGCAGACTAGACTGCTGTATAAATGATTTACAATGAACTACTGAGTCTTGACTTAATCTGATATTCCTGGATCAGCTTTCTGCCACCTACTAGAGTCACCCAACACCCCACAAAGTAACTTCATCTCCCCCTAACACAAAAACACACACTACTCATCCTTCTGTAGGGCTGGAAGACAGCTTCAAGTTCTTTCTATTGATTCCCTGCCTCTATTCCCTGTAAAGCTGCATCCTAACCAGTGTGACGAATTCCTTGGTCTCGGCTCACATCCTAGTGATGCACCTCTTGCAGGAACTGAAAATGAAATCAGACCTTCTCCCCTCTATGATTTTAGCAAAATATTTCCAAGAGCACAAAGCAATATATCGGTAACAAGAAGACATTTTTGGCACATCCTACACGGCTGCAGAAACTTGGCATAAATCCAGCTCCTGAACATAACCACAGCCAGCTGCCTGAGACTTTGTTCCTACCAGCCACTGCCAGCGTTCATACTGGTGGAACCCCACAGCTGCCCAGTCGGGGCCAGTGGCGGGTAGGTATTTTGAGAGATAAGCCCTGAACAGAATGCCACCTGTATAGCATTACACACGGTCTGCTCTTGCCTTTCGTGGTGTACAAAGCAGCTAAGTGTTATCTCATCATCACAGCTGTCAATCTATTATTAATACTGTACTTTTGTTAAGCATCCAGGAAAAGACGGGGTCACTTGGGTGACTCACGGCTCTCTCCCTTCCCCACTCTAGGTCCCATTTTTTTAATTCTCTCCCTACAACAAGAGCGCGAGGTATTCTGAATGGAATTAAATATCAGCCAGACAGACGGTACCTGCACTGCACCAGTCCACAGGCTATGATCTGCTTTCATGGCAATCTCTGCTGTTGACCCCAACCTTTGCATGACAGGAAAGCACAGACATACTCAGGGTAAAGATCTCTCCTGTATTTCACCATGAGGATCCATAATTATCATTAAAAGAGCACACAGATTGGCATGGCCTAACCTGAGATCTCAACTGTATGACAGAAAAAAATTCTTGAAGGAATTGTGAAAGACGGATGAAATAAAAAAGAGTAGAGACACTC